CTGGCCATGCCGGGCAGAGAATATGGGAAAAAAACGTTTTGTCGTGAGCACAACTTACTGTCACGTTCTCACGAAATAGTTACCGTATTTGCTCGAATATTACACGCACCCAATTTTGAAAGGTTAAATTGAAGAAAATTTGTTTTTAACACATCAATCGTACAAAATGTATTGAATATTTTCTATATACAGTAAACAACTATCGATGTATTAAACATTTTTGGAAATCTTGCACTGAAATTTTTTTTATGTGTCAATTTTGCAAAATTTATTGAAAGTTTGTACGTGGTAATACACTAAGCTAATCATTCATCTTCCCATAAATCTTCATCATCGCTACCATGGGATTTGCTTCCTTGAACTGTTGCTTCATCTTCTTCTGATTCCCACAACCCGTCCCATCCATTGCATTGGATATGCAACATTTTTGGAACCTTTAATGGTGCTTTAAGGATTTTTGGTGGTAGCTTCGAGTAAAATACGTAATAAAAATTGAGCGTGAGAGAATATAATGCGCAGTCGATTTTTGGGAGGGATTTGGGGGAAAAAAGTGCACATTACATTCGGGCAAATATGGTATGTTGTTCGCACGAGACAGATCATGTGAAAACATTGTAATATCTCGTAGGAAAACATAGCTATCTCGTTCCAACGAGATAGTAAGTCAAGCACACGACATTAATATTTTTTAACATGTTTCCTGTCAGGATCTGTACTTTTCGAAGTTATTTGACAGTTCTTGTTTTTTAGTCTAAACACACCCATTTGAAGTTTAGAACTTTCTTGATAATAGAACACATTTGGTAGTTCTCAAGATATCAATTTTTATCAATTCATGTTTTCAGTTTTGTCATGACTTAATGAGAGTGAAAGTATTGAGTAAGACAATTGCATGCATTCATTTTCTTCAAAAGAAATAAATTGTACTTAAAGTGTAAACTATTCTGTACGATCAACCATCTCTCTAAAATTCGAACTGTTCTGTACAAATTAACCCTTTCGTTATATTTCAACTACAGAGGCTGATTACGTTATATTAAAACAAACTTGGAACTTCATCATGTCGCAAAGTTCAGTCATGCTCTGTCTGACGTTCATGCATTTTGACGATAGCTCTGCAGCATAGTTTCAAAAGGCTCCATTGTATGGTTGTCATGTCCAAAGCACACTACTTGGTTTCCATAATCCATTTAATGAACGAGGACGATGGTTCCCAGTGCCAGTTTCAAATGTGCGATCGCACAGAATTCCAGTGACAATGCATCCAGTAACTTCACTTTGCAAAATGTAGTTCTGATACAATCTGTTTCACTACAATTTTATATTGCCTGTAGTTGTTATGTAATTTGCTCATTTGTTTATTCAAAAATCGTTTTAATATAACTTATTCAACCCTCTGTTGTAAGACCACCCATCCCATTACAATTAAAACTGCTCTGTATAAATTAGCCACTTCGTTAAATTTCAACTGTTCTGATAGATCAACCACTTCCATAAAGTTTAAACTATTGTGAAATAATTAAATCAAGCATCACACTGACATTAGTCGCAACATGAAATATTGTGTAGTTTGTGCGAGCCTCATGGGAATAGTTTGTTGACGAGGTATTTTTCTTGTAGATATTTGCAACGTCTCAGGCTATTTACATGTACGTTCTAGACTTGAACCAAGATCTTGATGAACCTATTCCTAACCTTTCCGAAAAAAATGAGGTAAGCAATTATTCATTATATTACCTTAAGAGAAATATAAACTCATTTGAACATTATTATTTCTTAATTAAAAAAATCAATATAGATGTTTTAAAATTCAGATACTAAAACAAGATAAAAACTGTTTAGACCATCTATACCATTTTTATAAAGTGTTGTATAAGACGAAACTAAATCTGTATAAGAAACTATGCACTATACCCGGTAGTTTCAGTATTTGAAATACATTCTATACTCGGTAGTTTCAGTTTTTGAAATGCAGTCTATACTCGTTAGTTTCAGCATTTGAAACACAGTATTGTCATGATATAAGATACTATTTAGTTTAGATGTTTTTTGTTGATTTGTTTTTGTGAGTGAATATTTTATTATTGTTTAGTTTTTGTTATAATAAGAATTAAAAGCAGACAATTGTAGGAAGTTTTGTTAGTAGTTTATTGATGTTGAGACTATTGAATGCCGTGTGGAGTACATTGACGTCGAGAATATAGAAGCAGACAGACGATTACATGATAAAGATATAAATAGAGTGAGACTAGCGGGAAGCAGCAGATAGATAATAGCAGAAGAAAGTAAAGATACAAAAGGAAAGGTTAACTACCGTAGATGTGATAGGCCTAATGATTGGCATAGACCTAACACTTAATATGTTAGAGTAAGACTAACAAGAGATAAGAAGAAGAATTATTCTGTCAAAGCATGGTTCTAAAGTAATTGAATTAGCATGAGTGCACTTTGACAAAAGGAACAGAGGATCTTCAGAAGAAAGAAGACCAGATGATTATGGTAACTTGCCCCACAACTGTAAGTGAATCACACAGAACACTAGTGTGATAATAATAGAGAAGATAGTTTGGATTGTCAACTGAAATTATAAAGTAATTGAATAGGTCTAAGTGGACTTTTGACAAAAAGGAGAGAACTATATATAAATAGTGTTTATGATATGCCTGTAATATCTATAGTGTTGAAGAATTTGTTGTACATACGTTTAACTTGTTCTGGATATATATATATATATTATTTTGAAAACAAGTGAAGTGTGTGCTGTTTACTTATCAGTGAATTTATTGCTAATAAGTCACAGACATCTACTGTAGAAGAATCTTAAGCCTAACAACAACATAGTAAATATTTATACTATTAAGAAATATAACTAAAGACTTTTATTTTGACAATTGGCAAAGATCAGATTTTTAAATTCTGACAACTGTATACTCGTTTTTTTTTAGTATTTGAAATACAGCCTGTACTCTGTAGCTTCAGTTTTTGAAACACAGTTTATACTCGTAGGTTCAGTTTTTGAAACACAGTCTACACTCAGTAGTTTCAGTATTTTAAACATAGCCTATATTCGGTAGTTTCAGTATTTTAAATACAATCTGTACTTGGTAGTTTTATTATTTGAAACACAGTCTATACTCGATAGTTTCAGTAATTGAAATACAGTCTATACTCGGTAGTTTCAGTTTTTGAAGTATAGTCTATACTCAGTAGTTTCAGTATTTGAAACACAGTCTATACTCGATAGTTTCTGTTTTTGAAATGCAGCCTATACTCGGTAGTTTCAGTATTTGAAATACAGCCTATAATCTGTAGTTTTAATATTTGAAATACAGTTTATACTTGGTTATTTCAGTGTTTGAAATACAGTCTATACTCGGTAGTTTCAATACTTGAAACACAGTCTATACTTGGTAGTTTCAGTATTTGAAATACTGCCTATACTTGGTAGTTTCAGTAGATGAAATACAGCCTATACTCGGTAGTTTCAATACTTGAAACACAATTTATACTCGTGTAACAGCCAGCACCCTCAGGGCTAGTTGTTGGAGTTTCAACTAGCTCTAAGGACGCTGCCCATTACAACTAGTGCAGTCTCGAGGATTTTTGGATTAGCTAAAGACAGGTCAGTAAGAGTAAAGAAAGGAGTAGAAGTAAGAAAATTAACCGAAGTACTATAAGTAGTGTAAGTTAAAAATAAGTGGTAAGTAAATGAATATGGCTAATGCTGGTGTATACACGACTACAGAAGAAAGAGTGCATGCCCTAGAGTTGATAGAAGGGCTGACACTGGGTATGAAGCAGTGAAAGAGAAACCCACACAAGCAGGTCCATGCAGTGCTACACATTTAACAGGCATCATACCATTACATCACGGAAGACTCGATGAGGATGTCGAGAAATTTATTGATGCTTTAAATGAAGCTGCCAGAATATTGGGCTGGATTGATGCCCAGAAGGCAGACATATTAAGATTAAGAACAGCAGGAGAAGCAAAACATTATATTAGAGCTTATAGTGAACTGTGTGAAACCACAGATTTTCAGTATCTGGTACATAGGTTAGTAGAGGAAAGAAGCAATTGGATATTTTTGAGGGAATTTTACAATTGCTTCAGTATTTTTAATGTTCAAGAGTTAATAAAGAAGCAAAAGAGATTTCAGTATTCTGAGTGTGTGAAACCACAGATTTTCAGTATCTGGTACATAGGTTAGTAGAGGAAAGAAGCAATTGGATATTTTTGAGGGAATTTTACAATTGCTTCTGTATTTTTAATGTTCAAGAGTTAATAAAGAAGCAAAAGAGATTTCAGTATTCTGAGTGTGATACACATACATGTGGTGTAAGTAAGGACGCCTGTATTACAAATTTAGGTCAAGAACTAGGTGAATCCCAGTTAACAGGTCAGTTAGTATTGAGAATCACATTTTAAGAGCTATAAAAAATGAAGCTACAGTAAGGATGCTGAGAAAAACGCTAGTCACGAATTTCACAGTGATAAGTTACTGATACCGAGTTAGTAGCACTATAAAGGATACTAAAAAGTTTATGATAACATCTCAAATCAGTGCTTTGATGTGAGATCTGTTACTCCAGACCAGTAGTAGTATAAGTGAAAAGGCAACTGAAGTACTTACCATCATAGTAACCAATTACTTGAGAGTTTTGGTTCTTGTTTTGGATTAGCCTGGGAAGTTGCACAGATTGACCAATAAAGTAGTAGAACTACTTGTGGGTAGTTAGGAATACTATTTGGAAGGTCGAAAGAACGCAGAGAAATTATGGTATAAACACTCATGTCTGGAGCTAAAAATCAGAGTTCTCCAGGAAGAATCGAGGTTCTCCAAATAGTTGATAATAGTTCCAAGCCAGAATTCTTCAAGCAACTATGAATATGAAGGTTTCCAACCTCCAGAAGCATATCAGTCCAGCTTTGACCATACTTAAGTCTATACTTAAGACTTGCTATCTCTCTTGTTCAATTAATGTAGTTTACTAAAGGAAGTTAATGCTTATAATAGAGAGAAATATTCTATATGTATTGATTAATAGTGTTAACTGAAAGTTGCGAGAAATTAACGTTTTAGTAAATGTTTAACTATTGATGTTAACAGTGTATACTATGTGGAAAGACCTAATAAATGTTGCTGTATTTTGTTCAATGTTAGTCTTGGAATTCATTTCTTTATTCTAACTGTAAATTACCTCGAGTTAGCGACTTGTAAGCTCCAATCGCCACTGCAATCCTCAACTAAGTAAAGTTGGTGTAATCGGCAGTATAGTCGAAACTACAATGACTTGCTCTAAGGGCACTGTCCATTACACTAGGTAGTTTCAGTATTTGAAATACAGTCTATACTTTTCGATAGCTTCAACACTCGAATCAGTCGGTAACTTCAGTACTCGACTCACTATCTAGACATGGTAGTCACAGCACTCGATACACTAAACACAGTATTTAAAACTCGGCAAACCCTACTATTTAATTGCATATTTTATAGTAGCATATAATACAGTAAATGTCAAAGTTCTGATGACGATTTTATGGATTTTTTTCTTCTAAATGCAACTTATTCTAGCACTTCTGATTGTGAGACTCATTTTTTATTGTAGGCCTGATGAAGGCCTGCTGCTATAACTCCATAGACAGCCACCAATCAATAACAGTGACCAGGTATAGTAAGATGTGCGGGTTAGCAAGCAACAACTAAAATAAACATATTGACTGTAATATAGAGCATGTGCTGTCAATAGTTTGTAGAAACAATTAACCCCTCGGCTGTTGGTTTCTACTTTACTGCTGATTTTGTTTGTTTCTATTAAGATATTTCTCCAGAAAAGCACCAGTGTTATTCGGAAAATTTACTTTGCAGGATTTTCATTATTCCGGGCTCGTAAGCAGAATGTTTGAAAGGGGGTTTCTAGCTTGTGAGATCAAAAGCCAACACGTATTATGCGAAGTACAATTAGCATGCTGTGCATGCTAATGCTACGGGGGTCTGGTGGCACGTCCCCCACAGAAAATATCAAAAAAATAGGTGCTATGAGATTAAGTATGGAAGCAGTTTTGCATGAAATATAGCTTCAACAATTGCATGGCTGTTCACATAAAATCTACAAACATCCAGTGAAAAGTCAACAAATCACCATTCTGTTGTAATACTGCATGGGGAGCTAGACTTAAATTAGCTTGAATATATATGTTTTATTATAGTAATGAACTGTACTATCTACATGCACAGTAGTTATTAATTGGTAAGGTATATTACTAATTTAAACAATTTTGTACAAAAATAGTATATTAGCTATTTCAATCATTGGCTATCATATACGTACTTGTATGCACTACTAAAATAACATGTTAGCATGACCCATTCTTCTGGGGTGCTTTTCCACAAATAATGTACAGTTTCGATGTTGATATTTATCACCAACAAGTTAGAGACACCTACTGTAAAGAATACAGCCTACAAAACCTGACAGTAGCAATACGACTTTGGACTTACAGTCACAAAGTGTCAACAGAAGCCATTGCATGCAACTATTTCAAGACAAAAAAATGCTAATACTTCATAAGAAGAATGTAGACATATGTAGAAAACGTTAAATACCATAAGCAGCTACGCTACACTTATATAAGAATGATGTTTTTATATATCACAAAAATAGTGGTTAGGCCGAACCCCTCGAATCCCCCCCTGCATACGTGCGCGTATTCAGCAGCTTAGGCCAAATCATGCTTAATCAACGGCACTTTTTAATATCGCCTTGTCTTCTCAATAATCAACAATTATATTGTTACGACAGCAGAAGTCACGTGATGTTGGAAGCATGCGCGCTGGAGTTTCTAGAAGAATCATGACTGTTCCTGGCAACTCTAGTTTTTTCTAGGCGCCCTCTATTTTAGTATATAAGCCCGGCAAATAAAGCGAGGATATAATTGCAGATAGACAGATAATTGAGTCTAGCGAGCGGTAGTGACC